TCACACAAAACTCTAGTAACATCCCTCCACTTTAGCCATCTCGCCTTTATACGATGTGTAACGTCATCATCTATACCCCCATCTTTATGTATCATAGACCCTAGGTACTTGAAACATTCTTTTGAAGGGATAATGTGTCCCTCTATGCATATTTCTATATCTTCATCGTTTTTATTTTCACTGAAGTTTGAACATAAATACTCTGTCTTTTCAATATTGATCCTTAGACCTTTTACTTCCAAAGCAGTCTTCCAAGCAGCCAGTCTTCTAGTCAGCTCAGTTTTTGTTTCGGCAACTGTGACAATGTCGTCAGCGAAAAGCATAAACCATGGAACACCGTCTGGTGTCGCACAATAGATGTCATCCATAATCAAGGCAAAGATGTAAGGGCTAAGAGCTGACCCCTGGTGGAGTCCGATTTCCACCGGGAATGCCTCGGTGTAGCCAACTGTAGTTCTGACGTAAGTAGTAGATCTACAGTACATATCACGAATCACCTTGATATAAGCAGTTGGGATCCGTCTCGTTTCCAAGGTCTTCCCGATCGTATCGCGGGGAACACTATCATACGCTTTCTCAAGGTCAATGAACGCCATGTGAAGATCTCTATTTTTTCCCTATATTTCTCCATAAGCCGTCGAAGTAGATGAATCGCCTCTATAGTAGACCTGCCTGGCATAAAGCCAAATTGGTTTTCCGAAACCCTAGTAACTTGTCTCAACCTAACCTCTATCACTCTTTTCCATAGCTTCATGGTATGACTGAGCAGTTTAATACCTCTGTAGTTGCTACAATGTTGGGGATCTCCTTTATTCTTATAGATTGGTATCACCGTAAACTCTCTCCACTCCTCTGGCATCTTGGCAGTCTCTAAAATAATATTAAAGATGTTGGTCAACCAATTTACTCCCTCTTTTCATAGGGCCAACCACACAGTGATAGGGATTTGATCTGGACCTACAGCTTTGTCCCTCCCTATCTTTCTAATAGACATTTTGACTTCCTCAAACCCAATCCTACTTGTAGGGCATCCATTGGCCGCAAGATGATGGTCGTCTGACCCATCAACGGTACTATCTCTACAAGGAGATGCACCGTCATTAAATAAGCCAAAGAAGTAACTATCTCAAACCCTCTTAATATCATGATCTTTCATTAAAAGAACATCATTGTTGTCCTTAATAAACCTAATGCTACCTAGATCCTTTTTCCTATTTTCCCTAGATTTTACAAGCCTGAAGATGACGTTTTGTCCTTCCTTGGTGTCTAATTTCTTGTACATTTCCTCGTATGCCTTATTCTTTGCTTTAGCCACTGTTTTCTTGGCTTCCCGCTTTGCCTCATTGTATCTTTGTTTAGCTCTCGATCTTTCTTCGTCGTCATTGCATTGTAGAAACTCCTTGAAGAAAGTTTGATTTGTCTTCACCTTAGTTTGGACTTCGTCGTTCCACCACCACGATTCCTTATGTTCCTTGACCTTCCCTGTCGACAACCCAATGGTGTTTTTTCCCACCTCTCTGATGGAATTTGTCATATTTTTCCATAACATATCTGCATCATTTGAGTTTGTAGTTCCAAAACCTGTACTTGACACCACCTTACTCCTAAAGTCATCAGCTGTCGCTCCATGTAAGTTCTTCCAAAGGATCCTAGGTTTACCAAGTTTAGCCCTCCTATGAGTGCTCCGCCCGTGGCGTACGCGGAACACCAAAACTAACAATCTGTGTTGTGATGCACATATCTCTTCAGGGAACACCTTACAATCAATGCAAGCCCATCGATCCCAATTTTGAACCAGGATGTAGTCGATTTGGGTACAATGTACCCCGCTATGGAATGTAATCAAGTTTACATCTCTCTTGTTAAAGAAATAATTAGTGACCACCATATCGTGTGCAGTAGCAAATTCAAGCAACGTACGCCCCTCCTCATTCCTAGTACCAAAACTGAAACCCCTATGAACACCGTCATACCCGTCAGTTGCACTACCTATATGGCCATTGAAGTCTCCCCTTATGAAAACTCTTTGGGCCTCCGGAATGCTCCTAAGTACATCATCTAACTGATCCCAGAAGCAACTTTTCTCCCTCTCCCCTAGTCCAATGTGTGGGGCATACACTGAGAGGACATTCACCACTTCCGCTTCTATAATAACCTTAATCAACATGATCCTATCCCGGTATCTACAAACTTCAACTACATTTTCCTTGAGCCTAGAGGATACCAAGATACCCACCCCATTTCTAGCGTTATCTACGCCTGAATACCACAACTTGTACCCATTACACTCTCTGGCACGAGCCCCTTTCCACCTAGTCTCCTGAATACATGCAAAATCTATTTTCCTATTACTAAGTACGTCGGTCAGCTCCAACAACCTAGCATTTAAAGTGCCTACATTCAACGAATAAACTCTAAGTACAGTCTCCTTGACACCACTCTATCGAGTCCTCCCCCTATACGCCCTATATGATCTAAAAGAAGGACATGACCTCAAGAAATCATCTGTAGCCGAAGCTATGAGGAACTATGAAAAAGAAATCCAAAGAAGAAAGAAGATGCACCAATAAAACGTTAGAGAATTGAGGGGTACTAAGAAGCCTAGTTGGTTACTTAATAGGATTTTAAGACAAATTAACACTATCTTACTTAACTTTAGGCCAGCCGCTAGAAATCAAGTGGTAAAATCACAACAAAATTTATAAATATTTATAACAGATATACTCAATTTGAAATATAAATAATGATATAAGATACTAGAGGTATAGGACAATGAAAAAAAATAGATCTAGTAACTCCTACTCAAAGCAATATAGCAAAATATAGATCCAGTAGTGCCTTAAAGGTGAAGAATGAAGATAAAAGGAAAGCCCTTGATAACCATCAATTACCAGTAGTGTATTAGCATGAACTTCACTTGGATTATTCTAGAGTACAAGACAAATAATTAAACTACGCAGAGTCAAATATTATCCTCCGAAATTAAGCAGCAAAAGGCACGAAAATTTGAACCAAGTAACTACAGAACTGAAGATTAAAAATAACTAAATTGAGATCACAACTCGAGAGAAAGAACAATAAAACCCCAATAAAGGAAATAACGTGTAGACCTAAAATTAATTGAAAATAATTCAAAAAGGAAAGAAAAAACCCAAATTCAAATCCCAGAAACCAGATCTAATCCAATTCACCAAAACGAAAACCAAATCATACTAGCACTTGAACAAAGAAATATGATTCATTCAACCCAAAAATAATCAGGGGAAAACTGGATCGAGTGAGGAAATTTGGTACCTTTCTCGAGGATTCCAATGGAGGGGATTTGGAAATAACTAGAAAAGGATGTTAAAATCAAGCTTACCGGCAAGAAAATCCAAGCTGAAACTGAAAATCCTGTGAGCAAAAGCAGATCCAAGCTGCCGAATCACTGTTGCTCAAAATAGAACTGATGGAAAGAGGTAGATTGTAAAAAATTCAAATCATTTTTATAAGATCAAATAAAATATATGTTATGAAGTTTTATAAAAGTACAAAATATCTAATCAATTATGAAGCGATTTCAAGTGGACAAAGGTGAAGGGACGTAACTGCAAAGGTCAGCTTTTTGGAAACCAACAACAAGAACTTTGAAACTTTGAAGGTTATGTGTAATTAGAAAGACACGTGGCGTTAAAAGACAGGGAGAAGCTATCGTGTCAAAAAATATTATTTAATTAACAAATTAACAGCCCGAACTCACGGAGAGTGGTTCCAATCCTTCCTGTACGCGCTGCACCTTTACTATTTCATTCTACTCGCTACTATATCCACCCTTCTATTAAATTAAAATTAAGTTTAATACATCATGCAACACCGGAATTTAATGTTTTATATCTGCATTCTTTTATTTGATATTTAAATTTAATTCTTAATACAATGAATTTAATTTGATATCTAAAATTGACAAACGTAACATATATAATGTTTAAATTTGATGTTTTAAATTTTTAAATGTGCACACAATTGAGTAATTTATTAATTTCATATACAATCGTTTAAAATAATTTTTAATGTTATGAATGTTGGATTTTTTGGATGGTATTTGGGGGCCCGTTTTAACAAAGAGCGTTACTTCCTCTGCTATCTATATAACTGCAGATTTGTCTTCACAGGTAATCCCTTTCTAATTTTTCAAACATGTTTTTTTTTAAACTTGAAAAACATTGTATTTACCTTCTGTTTGGTTGATGGGAAAGTGGAAGGAAAGGAAAGAAAGTCGTCTGTATTGTCTGGAAACTTCACCTTTTTCTTTTCCTGAAAAAGGATGCCTTTTCACACCAAAAAAATGGGAGGAGGCCAGAGCGTGGCCGAGGGTATGTAAAGTGCGCGACGGCACAGAACCTCAAAAAGTAAGGACTCCGAAATTAAATATATTTATCAGTTGTTGTCATTAAAAAGTAGAAAAATATATATAGAACAGTGGTTAAATCATTGGGCCCATGACTTTGTTGATCCTAAGTTCAAATCTCGTTAACAAGCAAAATTATTTTTGGGAAAACAATGCAAGTGGGTTTGCTTAATATAATCTTGTTATAAATTTTTTATTATTTCAGAAAAATAAGTTCGAGATCTAAGAGCCCATTTACAAGAACTTACACAGAGACTCCAACAACCTAACCACGGGAGAAGGCTATGCTTGAGTTTTTTGACAAGTCAAATTTGACTTGTCTTATGCAGAAAATAAACATTTCATTTCTTGGGGCATTTATAACATTAAGGCATCACAATGTGTTTACTTGTGCTTGAACAAATACCATGTAGTAATTCATTAAAAATGATTTATTGGTTATCTTGTTGTTTAATTATCATTTGAACTTTGTTTTGTGGTATTAAGTATACTTTGCCTGCATTTGGTAATGAACTACACATTCCTGTTTGTATTTGTGTTCCCTACTTGCATCAGGATTCGGGATCTAAATCTTTTATTATGTTTTTAATATGGAATTCTATGGTCATACAATTTCGATGTCGCCGGAGGATCCTTACGACTTGGTGAGGACGTCACGCATGGCTGGATATGGATTGTTGATATTAGGGGCCGTCTCTGCATTTCTGGTTCAACTTGATGTCGAAACTCTTTCCGAAGAGGGACTTGATCACTACTTCCAAGAAAATGGCCATGGGGCAGCTCGTTTTTGGACCTGTCATAACAGTTGTTTTCTTCTCGTTGAATGCTCGTCTACAAGGTATGTTCCTTACATGTCATAAGATGAACACTGCTTTGCATTCATCAGCTACTACTACGACGACGAATACAGCTTTGCGATTCTTTAGTTGCTCTATTATGCTCTGGTTATTCCTGTAATGATATATATTCCCTCTACCGGTTTTTATATTTTACAAACAACTGACTTGCATCAATGCATGATGTTTATTACTCATGCATAACCTTTTTATAACCATATTTCCACGATCCAACTAGGAGCCGTATCGCTTTTAACCATTACATATATGAGAAATAATCGACGTAAGTACCTGCTTAAGCTGTTGCGGATGGTTGTAGGTGAAAGCGGTGGAGAAATTGTTTCCAGGTTAAAGCGAGAATTGCTTCCTACAATGTTAAGCGGTGTGATGTACTGGCCGTTTTGCGACTTCATCACTTTCAGGTTCATCCCAGTTCATTTGCAGGTATGGTTGATTCTTCCTTCCTCATCGTCGCTTGAATTAGTGAAATGGCATCCATTTTGACAGCCGCTGGTGAGCAATTCATTTTCGTATTTGTGGACTGTCTACATGACATAAATGGCAAGTCTAGAGAAACCGGTCTCGGCTACCTGCTGATCGATTAGCTACCGTCAATTCTCTCGCATCTAAGATCTGGCTTTCTACAACAGGTTGAAGATCCGACAAAAATATTATTAACTAACTGGAATCCGGTCCTTCTTGTCTTCGTGCAACGATATGCCTAGGGGTAAAACACTAAAACTCAGAAGGGGTGAATCAAGTAGGGAATCATCATATTTTGGTTATTGTGAATTTTGTTTCCCTCCTCTTCTTCTTCTTCTTCCACTTAAGTTCTTGTAAGGTTACATTTTGATTCCAAAATCTGGTAATAGAAAATTAGAAATGACTAGTGAGCATTTTGGAAGGAGATGAAGATTCATCTTCAGTTCTAGTTCTAGTTGGATGATGATAATATCGTAATCTGCTTTAGCTCTCTTTCAAAAAGAAGTTGACTGAACATTACGTTTTGGCTTTCATGGAAGAATCGAGTTTTGTCTTCAATAACTACTGAAAGTAACGGTGAATACCAAAATAGCGACTTCCTATTCTTCCAGCCATTGTGTTTCTCAGTCAAGCAAGAAGATGCCAGAAAATTCGAACCCATTTCAACCTTTGTTCCGAACATTTGAAAAAAAATCTTCAATTTCATCCAAAACCATCTCTCTATTCTCATCCTAAAGGTTATAAAATAGAAGATGTGTTTCTCAGTCAAGCAAGAAGATGCCAAAAATTTTATATTCAAGTTGAGTTATAAAATTTATCACGAGTGGAATTAACATACCTCGCGTTTTCCAAAGTGCTAGGTATTTGTTTTCCAGCACAAATCCCATGTACTGATACACATGTACAGGTATTTAATCTCAAAATTTTTGGACAGTTAAAAGATTAGAGACATAGTATTCGATTTTTTTTTTTCAGTTGAGACCAATATAGAGACATATAAGATATCGCAAGCGGGTTGAAAATAGTTCTAAAGCTTGTTTTGTGTATGAAGGAAATGGCAAAATGGTTGGGTAGGCATATTCGTGGGGGGTTTTTTATGGTAGTTAATCTGAAAATTTGAATAATTTCTAAGAATATAGGTGTAGTACTGTAACTTATTTTTTGATTGAGAGTAATATTGGCGCACTCGAGACATTATAATTGGGGTAAAAATCACATTCAAAATGGTTCTAAAGCTTGGTTTTTCGCATGAAGAAAATGCTAACAAACTAATCGAGATTAGGGTGTGATCGATTAGGACATTTGTTATTCGAGTGTCCGGGATTCCTACAAATACTATAAAGCTTCGGTTGTCTGATTCTTTCTAGATGGTTGACCAAATCTTCGTCACAATAAATCCTCGTTGAGCGTGGACGGCCTCTTTTTTGGCGGTGTAGTGTGAAATCTGGACGTATTGTAGGTTCATCGTCAACTACATTTGGATCTCTTTTGTTTTCAATCCGAGGAAAATCGTACCAATACACTTTGGATATGATTTTCAGTGAGTGCACACAATCAATGAATTGCATATAGCTAATCCTTACAGAAGAACAAGCGACAATTACATGTGAATACAAATATTTGAATGTTTGGAATACTCCGCAATCACATGTTCTGTCACGTAGATTGACGACATATGCGTTGTGTTGTATGTCTTCAAATGGCCTGGAATATTCCAAAACATGGAATTAACTTTGTTCGCGAAAGACGCATGTTGCACTTATCGTGTTTGAGTGCTGTAGAAAGGTTTGCAATTTTTTATGGAGGTATGGGTGGATTCTGTGACCACATGCAATCCACTCATCTGCTTGCCTTCCCAAGGTTACAAACATGGTTACCAAACGATAATATGTCGTTTTGCCAACAGAAGTGATAGGTAAATGTCGCACTCCCAAACGATAACAGTGATGCATTTTTTTTTGCATTTTGTACTGACAGTACCAAGAACAGTGTTAAGGCATCGTTAAGGCATCCTCTTCTGGTGGCATCTAGATTTTCGTTTAGGTATTTTGAGAAATTTCTTCCTCCATGAATTAGGTCCAGGTGAACACATTTCGAGAAACATTTCTAAGCTTTTTCCTTTCTGTTCAATATCGACTGCACGAAGACAGAAGACGAAGTTTTCCTTTGTGAATCTCTGACGCGATGATACCTATTTATTATGGAAGGCAACATCTATTTCTTATTTCCCCTACTGTGCGCTAAAATTAAAATGTAAAAATCGCTTAAGTTATTTACATAAATCATACTCTGTTTACAATTTCTCATATATGTTCACATCAGTTTTAATTGAAATATGAGTTGCAAAACTATGCTTGTAACCTCAAACATTTTCACATATGTTTCTTTTAACATCCCAGATTACTCAACGAAGATTTCTATCAACCCATTTTTTAGCTTCAGGGTTTTTAAAATAATAACTCCATATTTGGTACAAACTTATTGATTTTAGGGTTTTTTGCATTAATTAATACATCGCGTCTTATGTTATGTAATTTTCTTCTGAAATATTGGATTTTATTTGATTTAAAGCGACGCGCCTTTCCAATGTGTACCTCGCATCCTGGGAAAAGCGAGGTCCATGGAATCCTCATTTCGGGACGGGTGCGAGGTTTGTTATAAATAGGCACCCATTTTGGAAGGTTTCCTAAACATGTTTCAAAGAAAAATGATAACAAAATATTAGTTTAATATTGTCAAATTTTCGAGAGAAGCCTTAACAAAAATTCTACTTAATGTTACTTCTAATTTCGTCCTCGATTTCGTCAATACCCAGTTGAGTTGCAAGAGTTTTCATAAAGTTGCCAATTAGGATTACATTTTCAAGAACATTTCCATGAAAAATAATAGCATCATGTCGTGGTTTCAACCAAGAAGATGATTCACCAAAGATGTCTTCATGCTAACAATCCTAAAGCTTTATATAGAGAAGGCATTCTTAATTTTCTTAGTGGAAAAAATCCGGACTTCGGTCTACATTTATTGAAGCAAGTGGTTGATGGAGGTGACATCAACGCCATATATGTCTATGGCCTTATTCTAGTTTGTTATGGGGGTGAATCGAGGGATGAAGGACTTCGAATCGTGAGAGCTCTATATCTCTAAAAAATAAATTTACTTGTTCTTCGTCCGGAGATGAATCTGTTTCTACATTTACATTCGTGGTATCGTCACGACGTTTCCTTCCCATAACAAATTGAAGACTGCAATTGTCCTACCAACTGTGCACGTAATTAAGACCTCCAACATTGGTACCGACATTATGGCAATCTATGTACTTGTTATACTTCTTGTTTTTGGAATCATAAAGCAAGTTTGTTTCGTCAAGTTGTATGTGACTGTCATGTTCAATATTTTTAGTGTCTATTTATATAACAATCTATATATGGAATATTGTTTGCGTTATTAGTGTCAATTTGCATGAGAATCTATTTTTTCAAAATGCTAATATAATCAAAATAAAATGTAGGTATTATGTAATTTTATTAAATACTATATAATAAAAATAAAATGATTAATTTAATTCGAAAAGACCTTGCATTTTGGAAAACGCGATGTATATAGAATACCTATTGCGATAAATTTCTCGTGACGGTTCATTTTCTTAGGAACCTCACTTTACGCAAAATGTGAGGTATTAAATATCAATATTAAATTACGTCCTCCGAAAAGGCCATCCACGTCGGACGTTCCTCGCTCCATGTGGAATGTGAGACACGTTCTCGCTCTACATAGGACGTGAGATAGTCCTACGTGTGTAGTTTGGGGGGTATTTTTCTAACAAATCTACTAAGGGAATTAATGTTCAAAAAAATAATTAATGAGGGGTTTTTAATATAATAACTAGTTTTCTTTTGAGACCAATTATTTCCATGGAGTATGTTTTAAGTCTCACCATGTCTACTAGTTCCCAACCCATCATTTCATAATAATCCATACTAGATTCGAAAAATATATAATTAAGTTTAACTTGATTTGAAAATTTATGAGTTAAAATTATTAAGTATGATTTGAATTTAAAATAAAAAAAAAATGAAGCTATACTTGATTTGAAAGCCCACAAGTTTAAATTTTCAAGTTTGACTTGAAATAAAAATGGAAGCTTGATTCAAGCTTGTTGGCAGTCCAGCAGAAGCAAGTCATCAGCAGAAGCAAATCAACACTTAGTTCACTTAGCTAGCTATAACCGACTGTAACTGTACTATACACGTGGCATTAGCTAAATGGGTCAGTTGTTAGTTAGTTAGCAATCTGTTAGCAAAGCTGTTAGTGGATCAGTTAGCTACAGCTGCACACAATGTATAAATTGGATGTTATTCAGCAATGAAAGTAGAGTTTTCCAGAAATACCTCTTTATTTGTATATCATCATTCCAACATGGTATCTCTAGCCAAAGATCTTGGGATTTTCCTCTTCGCTGCTTAAAGCTTTCCTTCAATGGAGTTTCCTGTCAGTGCAAAATCGTTCACTCACAAGAAAGTAAATATTATTCTTGATGAGATGAACTTTCTCCTTTTGAAACAACAAATTATGCACACAATTTGAAGCCATCGTTTAGAAAGATTCCTCACCAGTGTTGTGGCAACTCCACCTGAAACGACTTTCGATGATGATGGCATAACACGAGTCAATGAAGCCTATGAAGAGTTTATAGCACAGGATAGTGCTATCGCCTCATGGTTACTATCAACGATCAACAATCATCTTCTTCCTCAGTTTGTTGGAGTTGAAACTGCGACAGCCGTATGGAACATTATTCTTCAGTTTTTTGACAATCGCTCCATAACGGCAGTGATGAGTCTCTACTATAAACTTTAATCCCTAAAGAAAGGATGTGACTCTATACGTACATACCTTACTCGAGTGAAAGAGGTTTGTGATGCCTTAGCCTTTTGCGACAGTGTTGTACCTCAAGTTGAGCACATTGCAAGCATTCTCAAAGGCCTTCCACGGGAATACTAGCCCTTCATAGCAGTTATAACCTCAATGAGAGAGTCCTTATCCTTGGATAACATCTACACCATGCTTCTTGATGCAGAAACACAACTCTCCAGTTTTGAAGATCAATTGGAAACCTTACCAATGAGCGTAAATGTTACTTAAGGGGAAATTCACATCTCAGTAAGTTCCAAC